CATGAATCAGATTGTATAAGCCTGTTGTGATTTAATATACAGCAAAAAGCCATTCTCATAGTTCCTCATTTTCATTGTATTACATTTACTCTGCACTCTGGTAACAAAACAGCAAACCCAAGAACTCTTCATTATATTTGATTGCCTGTTTTCACCCAGTAGCAGCCATCAAGAAGCCTTAGGCTACAACATAATCATGTCTAGGTACAAAAAGATCCCCGAGGGCATATTAGGAGAGGAGAATCCAATAATGGATTAGAAAACAGATTGGGTTAGTGGGATGTACATTAAAGTTTCAAACATTGCTATAGCATTATGTGTCACAGAACTGTGTGTTTAAAACTTTCATTCAATACAATCTGCATTCATTATTCTATTCAGAATGAGTACAATGAAAAGACACTATTTAACAATAGAGAATACATCTCCTTGACATACAATCAATAAATAGATTTAGGTGTCTCACTGAAGAACATGCAATGTGGTGTCACTGTACATAGAACAGATCTTCATTTAGACAGAGTCTTCCATTCATTGTAATTATTATTTTCCTTGTGGCTTTAAATGGACAGCAGCTTTCATTATGTGCAATTACTGCCTTCAGCTGCAAGGATCCCGCTATTAACTTCACTTGATATGGCACACACACTTACAAACACAGTTTCCATGAATTCTCACCTGCTTATGAGCACAGAGAGAAAAGTGTTCTCCTTTACTTCATTCCAGCACTCTTTGCCTTTGCAGAGGTAATACATGATTGCATTCTCATGCTGGTTTGTTGCTACACAAGGTTAGGGCATTTAATGATGGTGGCCCTAAAAGCATGGAAGCAGGAGGTCTGTTCTGAAGTAATAATATGTGGGAGAGGAGGTGATGTAGCACCTGGCGGAAAGGCAGGAGCAACATACATTCAAGGGAAGAGGAATTAGATCATGGTTGGGGTTTCATTTTTGGAGTTCTTCACCTGCCCTTCAAATTCCAGGCAGCCTAGTCAGCCTCTCAGTAATCCTTTCATCATTTCATGTCCATCTGTCAAGGTTATTTGCAGCATCATAGAACTGGGCCACGCCACCCGTCCATGGGCCCTCTGCAAAGACCCGCCAAAGAGCGAGCAAAACACTGGCACCTTGCCAGCACTTCCCGCTTTAAGAAGGCATGGACATTGCAGGCGTGGCAGGGATGGACTTTCCACCACTCCTGTCCCCACATTGGCCATCCCCACCACCCAACTGAAGTATCTATCACTCAAAACAAAAGGGTCAGGTGAGGTCTAGTCTGTTTTTGTCTCATGTCGTCTCATTCTGTTTTCCAAATGGCATCATGTGGGACCCAGACACCTGGCCAGTCAGCTGCCACGTCTACTGCATCCTTTTGTTCTCAGGGCACAAAGACATGGGGACAGAGAAGCAGCTGCCACTATTGCCACCGCCAGTGCAGCAGTCTAGCTCTGGCAGTAGGATCAGGGCTGACCCAGACCCTTTTTGGCCCCTGGACAGCTGCCTGCCCATGACAACACCTGGCACTAGGCTTGCCAGGGTCTAAGAAACTGGCTGGATGAGACAGAGGAATCTGGTTGAACTCAGCTGCTTCCAGCTGAGCACTTCATGCCATACCAATACAGAGTTGATGGACAAGGAGAGAAGACTGCTGTGATCCTTAGGAATCCTATCATTTTACCACTTCATGCCTGATTCACAATCTACCTTGATCCACCTTGGTTGTGTACAGAGCCTTGCAGAAGTCCTTTGATTTTTCTACATTTTGTTTCATTGCAATCTGGAACTGAAATGTATTTAATTGACACTGTTATCACTTGATACTCAACACCATGAAAATGCAAAATATTTTATTGCTGCACAAAAGTGAAGTAAACAGAAACAAACTGGCACTTGTCAGTTGTATAAGTATTCACTTCCCTGGGTTGATACTTGGTAGAAATACCTTTGGTAGCAATTGCAACTGGAAGTGTTAAAGGGTAAGTCCTATAAGATTTGAGAATCCAGATCGTGCAATGTTTTCCCAGTCTTCCTGACCAAACTGCTCCTGCTGTGTCAGGCTGAATGGGGACTGTTAGTGAACAGAAACTTTCATGTCTTGCCACAGATCTCCACTCAGATTGAGGGCCGGTCTTTGACTGGACTCTTCTAAGTCATTGATGTTCCTGCTTTTGAACCACTTAAGTATTACTTTGGCTATGTGCCTAGGGTCATTGTCCTGCTGGAAGGTGAAGTTTTGCCCCTGTCCCATTTGGCTCCATGCATCTTGTACTGAAGTGCATTTTCCCATGCCACCATCTTGCTTCACCCTGAGGATGATGTCCTCAGGTCAGTGAGCACTATTCACTTTGCACTACATGTAGCATTTTGCATCAAGGAAGAAAAGTTTAGTTTTGGCCCCATCAGACTAGAGAACCTTTTTCCAATGTTTGGTGTGCCTCCCACATGTCCATGTTTGCAAACGCCAGATGAGCTCTGGTATGAATTTCTTTCAGGAATAGCTTTCTTCTCATCACTGTTCCATAAAGCCCAGTTGAACATATAGATGATCATCTGTATGGTCCCCTGCATGGTTTCTCCCGTTTCAACTGTGGATCTTCCCATCTACTTCAGAGTTACTATTGCTCCCCCCTTTGTAAAAGGTCACTCCTCCTCACAAGAGTTCCTCTGCCCAGTATCCTGAGATGACAACACTGTCGAGGGCTAGTGTATTGCACAGACTTTGTTTCAGAGACACAGTCCCCTACAGCTTGCAGGAAGGGACCTATGGTCATCGTCCCCTGTGGGCCCAGCAGCTCCTGTTCTTCTGACATGGAGTGTGCTGTGATATTCTTCATCTCATGTGAATGAGTCTGAGCCAAAATGAGAAATTATTGCTGACATTCTGGCTCAGACAGAAACTTAGATAGGAAGAGGAAGAGACAGAGGGAGTGCTTTCCTCCAGGGATGATTAGTGGGTGGGAGAGGATTAGAAAGGAAATGATCCCTTACCACAAAGCTTCTCAAAATGTGGAAGAAAAGTGGAGCAGACGTTCTTGAGAGATCACTTATTATACTTAGTGAAAATTCTCTTATGCCTGGCAGAATTCAGTCAAGAAGAAAAGAATTCACAGAATTGTGGCATGGGTAATATTGCCATTAGTGCCACCCTGACACTGTAGTCTTGTCATTATTGTTATTGTATCTTATTGAAAACATTTAAATTGTGTGTGTGTGTGAGAGAGAGAGAGAGAGAGAGAGATTTGGAAGAGGGATAAACATAAATGTGCCCAACTTACAATTAAATTTTTGGAGTTTCTCAGAAAGGAAGTATACATTCCCAGTCCCCTAGAGCAGTCTGGTTTGGATTTCCCTGAAAATGATGGGTAGGGCTATAGAAACACTGTTCACTTTGTTTTTGAAGAATCTGGTTGATTTGTACATTGTTAACTATACATTATATTCACTGAACACTCATTCCATTTGAGTTCCATCGACTTTTAACACACCTCTGATGTAGTGGCCAAAAGGGGATTGGGCTTATTTTTTACTTCAACAAAACTACTTAAAATATATGCACAGATTTGGAGCCAGAAATTGTGTATCTCTAGCATGATTTGAACAAATTGTGATCTGTGAAATTTGGGCTAACTGATTAGATCTATGTTGTTGTCATTCTTGTTGTAACATTTAGCATCAGAAATATGGAAGCATCTTCCTCTCACAGCGTATGTACTTATTCCACTATGGCCATCCTAAATTGTCTGGGTATTAATAGTGGATGTATGCAATATGCAGGTCATCAGTCTACATTTGCAAAAATTTGCAAGGTGAAAGGCAGAATTTTGTGCAAATCTATTTGGCTTTTTCAAAAAGTCAAACAAATTTTGGCTTGCTTTAAAAAAAAAAAAGTGGGGGGGGCAGTCTGCATGTTGGCTCAACCTACATCACATTAAACCAGCACAGTGTTGACAGAACGGAATCCATTATCTCACCCTTTCCTAGTTATCTCAGAACTAAGCCCCAATTTTATGTCATTTTTTAAATAAAATAACAAATAAAACTATGCTGCCAGTGAGCCCACAAGCTCACAGGCCCTGGCATTTGCCCAATCATGCTGCATGCTGATGCCAGACTTACTTTAGTTGTACAAATATTTTTACTACATGATAGGCACAAAGTGACACTTGGATGCTGTGGCCATGCAGAGGCCACCACTGACTTCCCTGTGTAGCTTTAATACCTTTAAAAAATATTACCATTTCGCCAGTTCTTAATATGTTGAAGATGTGATAACATACAGCAATTAACACGAATAACTCCTATTTATTTATTGGTTTGTTTATTTTGTATAAAAGCTGCCTATTAACATAACACTATGTCATTCTAATGACCTCATGTGGCATTGTACTGTTACAGTTAAAAGAATATACAGTCCACTGATTTTGTTATTTGCCATTGCACAGTTACTGAGGTTTGTCCAACTTGTGCAACAGTCCTGAGAATGACAACGTAGCCTTTTCTTGGAGTATTTAACCATAGATAAACAAATAAATAAAACACATAGAAGTGTAAAACAATTTTTTTTAGAAGTGTCAGAACAAGTCAACACATCACCATATGTCACACTAGTAATGTGAAGGCTCTATAATATTTGGCAGACTGTTCTTGATCTCTTCTTTAACTTGCTTCCTACATCTGTAAATGGCTAAATATATTGTCATCTGTCACCAAGTGAATAAATTGTTAATGTTCACTGAAAAGGTAGGTTTGGTTGGTGGTTGTGTGGGGATGGGTATATCTGAAATGTTCAGACATTTTTGATCCAATATTTCAGAGCTCAAATAGAAGTTGATTTACATGACAGCAGCAATTTATGTTCATTCCTGCTATAAGGATAAGCACTGGGGGCAGGATGTGGGAGGAATACTAAAGCCTAGCAATTTAAAGATGAAATTGTTTCAAAAGTTGTGGAAAAGAGTCCTATTATGCTTCTCAATCATCTCCACTGCAATAATCCTGCAGGTTGATCATGTATGGGTTTGTCAAGGCCATGGTCCACATCAATCAGTTGAAGAATGGCGACTTTCACTTCACCGACTGTTTATTATTTGGTTCTCTGATGTCTGCTACAGATCCAGGTAATTGTATAAATGTATCAAAATTACAGATTTATCTTGCTCAGTTCCATGATGTCCTGAACCTTCTGGCAATGCGAGGGAGACATGGACCCCCTAATTGTGGTTCCACCTCCTGTGCATCAATTCAGAGGTGCTTCAGAATGCGCAAAGATCTCTCCCAGTTTTTGTTCTGGCATCAGCACCAGGCATGATCATCACCCTGGCAGTATCCCCTTGCTTAGGCTGTAAACGTTTGCGAAGGAGCTGAGGGCCACCATTTTTCATGCCCCACAGTGTGGTCAGGCAGTGCATTGTGGGGATCCTCTCTTTGCATTCAACCAGTTACAATATTCTTATGTATTCATTCAATTTCTATACTGTTCAATAGCTGAAGGTTCCTGGGTAATTTACAAAGAGTAAAACTGTTTCAAAATGCATCATAAAGCCCATATACATGCAAACTTATGATACAGGGAGGGATGCACACATATATGACAATTTTAACCAATCACAAGACACAATCAACACCTGATTAAAGCTTCATCATCAGCTGCCAAATCCCTGAGAGAAAAAGGTCATAATGCCAGGCAAACATTCCTGACATTGTATAAGCCAGTCTGCTTTTCCAGAAGGAGAGAAGCTTGTGGCAACAATGGTCAGTACTGAGGAGTATTGGTGGTAATTAGGGACTCTAAGCAACCCAATAGGTGGGGTGAATATTGGATGAATTTTCACAAGTCAGCCCACAAATTCTGGTTTTCCAATCCTGTGGTTCAGGTCAAGTGAGCTCATGTCTCTAAGATAGACCATGATGCATGCATTTTAAAATGCACAAGGAAAATTGTATAAAATCAGTCCATTTCTGCAATTCGGCATGTAAAAATGCATGTTCTTAGCTTGATTTTCATAACATCTTGTATATCTGAGATCTTGTATAATAGGACAGCATACAAAAACTTTTAATAAATAAATAAACATTGCCTGATTCCTGCAAACTAGAATATGAAAAGCATGTGCTGTTAATGCAATTTGCAGAAATTGCACTAGAACCACATGATTTTGGGTTCCAATTTGCACAGATCAGCTTTAAATTGTGCTATGGACACATGCTTTTCAGATTCTGATTAGAGCAAACCAGGTGACTTTATGCAAAGTTTTTAGCATATTTAAATGTATACATTATAGCTCATCTTAGAGTTGTGAGTCTTCCCGCCTACCTGCTCTTCTTCACCAATTTTCTGCCACAGATGTGGGGACATAAAGAAATAAAAGGAGCAACTCCATTTACTGTTTAGTTTGGTCTTATGATGGCCATTATAGTGTAGATGAACTTTTAAGAAAGGAAGAATCCTTTACAGTTTCATGTATAGTATAATGTCCAACATCTGGCAATACTTTACAAATTGTGCAACAATATGTTTCCCATAGAGAGGTTCATTTGAAGATGAAGTTCCTGACTATTGCTATCTACTTGACATTCTTTTTCTTACTATGATGAAAAAGGAACATCCACTTAGCCATCATTTCCCATGTCACTATAACCAAGGAGTGGTATGATTAAATACTTAACACTTCTCAAAAAATTAGCCGTCGGATATGCTGCAAAACAAATTATATTATCACTTCTCCATGTGTTAATATCAACCCACATTTGCCAAAAATGACACATCATGGTAATCAGCCTCAGCTATTTAGCCTGATCTTATGCATATCTAGTATGAAATCCAAAGTAACTTCACTGATTTACTAGGGTCCTGTTTCCAAGTAAGCACAAGGTTTCAGCCTGTCTCTCACATGAGAACTGTAGTCAGGTGCTGAAGTTCAATTTTGATTTCCTGTCCAACCAAGTAAAAAAATTCTTCAAATAATTCTTGGGAATAATCCAAAGTAAATGTAGGTTATTCTTACCAGATTTTTTTTATCTCCACCATATTGTCCAAGATATGCTTATTTATATGTTACTATAAGCAATCAGAAAGTTGTATACATGCTTTAGGATTCTAATCATCACATTTATTCAAAATAAATGAAACCCATATTGGAAGATGCATCTTAATGTAATCAATCGCTAAAAACCTCTTGGGCATGACTTGATAATTACTGTTGGAACAGGTGCACTTTTAAATGCCTCTGTTTTGAGGTTACCTTAATGAACTAATTGTAATTTGGTAATATGCCATTACTAAATCCTATTCATGTTCCACTGCAAATCATACCTATTTTTGTATATTTTTAGATTATTTTCATTGTCAGATCATAGGTTTATACTGGGAGCTACTTTTGATTACATATATGAAAACAGGGAGTTTCTGTATTGTTTTAGGATTATGTCATCTTACCAATATTTCCTAAAATGAAAGACCTATTTTTCTTTTTCTACTGCTATAGGAAGTCACTTTCACTGAGAGTAACTATAGCTTATTTATCTTGTTTTCATCAGCTCCTCAGTCAAGATACTTAAATAGAAAGATACTGATCCATAGTTGTGTTTGAGACACCTATATTGGTGCCATTTGTTATAAGAGGTGTTTCTATCCTGTTCCACCCCTCCCTCGGAAGACCCTCTGAGAATTTCAGTAAATAATAAACTCTAAAACACCTATGAAACAACTAGCAGCAGTGTTAACGACAAGCACAGAATGGCTAAGGGACTGATGGATGCAGTTGTGATCATACTTCAAACTGGGTGGCCTGCTGGTATGCCCACAGAAGGCTCTGCAGGTATACATATATCACCAGCATTCCTGCTGATGGTAAGCACTCCATTGCTATATTGCAGCAGGGGAGGGTTGGTCTGGGACCTGCAGCATCCAATGCTATGTTTTATCAATTGTAACTTGAAAGGAAGCACAATTATATCAAGGTACTTCTGGGTGGCGCTTAGTTGATGCCTTTAGCACTTCAAAATCTGATTGGTGGCTCACACAGCTGAATATTCCATGATGCCCTAAATACTTTGCCTCTTGGAGAATGCTTCCAGCTTAGTCTCTCACTACCCCAACACACACACACACACACGCGCGCCATGCTAATTTTGGCAGGTGTAGGTTTCCCTACAATGGGAGAACATTGAAACTCAATTCTCTCTCCTGCATTTTGATACAGTTCTGAAGAGGTTCTGCTTATATTCTTGAGGCAGTGATAATCCAACTAGAAAACTACTTTGCATACTAGTATGCTTCCCACCACCACCACCACCACTTTGACATTTAAGGCATGTGGGGGTGGGGGAGAAGCCTCAATGAGATTTGGTGAAGCAGAACTGTTTCAAAGCTATGTGAACTCTGCTACCTTCATTTAGGCTGAGAATCAAAATGCTTTTTCCTATTTTGAGTTTCTATGGTTACAGCTGTGTGGATGATGTGGGATGTTCTGTTGTTATTTTTCTTTTCAAGTCACTCAAAACAGCTGGAAAATATTTTATAAGTTCTTTAGGGAGAGGAAAATAGCTCGGTAATTAAAATGTTTTATTGACATTTTCTTTCTTGAGCTAAGCCTTGAGTAGGATGGCTGATTAGCAGCATCAGGAATCTATAATTGCAACTGGAGCTGTTATTTTTAGCACAAGGGTTTTTCAACATGGTTGGTTTTGATGGGAAGCTTCTTATCTTGTTTCCTTCCCATTTGTCATTGAATCAAGGTCTGTTGGCCATGGCAGATTATATTTAACCTTGTTATAATCAGAGGCTCAAAAAGAATATGCCAGCTGCTTCAGTCACATGGTGTGTGTTTTTAATTGTAGGTTTGCAAATCAATCCCATGGTTAAGTTTCATTGATTTCACTGGTGAATTGTACCACTGCGTTTTATAAACCCCCTCCCTCCATTCTTCTTCTACCTGGGGAATTGGTGCAGGCATTGCAAAGGGCAATACAGAACTCTTTTCAGTTTCAACTTTGTTCAGCATAATACAAATCGAAGCGATGTATGACACAAGCCTAGGAATGGATAAGAATTTCATTTCAATTCACTATCTTAAGATGTTTCCCTGTTTACTGCAAAATACAAGAGAGAGAGCATATTTTGGAAAAATACCTGCACATTCCCAAGTTTGAGATTTCATAATGAACATTTCATATTTTTAAAAGAATGCATACTTTAAAAAGCACATTACGCTGACTGCCCCGAAGTATGGTAAAAAGTGTTCACTTTTTTAAAAAATAAAAGAAATATGTGAAAATGAACACTTTTCACATTTAAAAACTGTTATTTTCCTGTTTGAACAAAAATAATGCAAAACAAACAGTTTACAAATGAGAATGGTAGGAAAACTGAGCTTTGAAGGGGAATTAGGAAAATATCAGCAAGCATTCCAGTTTTCCAGCCATTACCCAAGCCTGCTGTACAGGGGCAGAAAGCATCACCTAGGAACATACTGGTAGCATATCGCCTGATTTAGTATAGTACTTGCAGAATAAGAGACCAAGAGCACTAAATCATAGAGACTCTGGGTGACAAAGGAGTATTGTAATTTATCTTTATTCTGATCTCACCTTCTCTGCATATTGCACATATTTGTCTCTACATTAGTCTCATTATTTTGTAGCTACAGCTTCTGGATTCCCTTTCAACAGAAGCTGCCAGGAAAACATACAAATAAGAGTTATGGCTGGTCTATGCAATAAGATTGCTTGGCATTGGAAATTATGCTTACTTTTTTCTGTCATTTTTTAAAACAAGGCAATATTTTAGATTTGGGTAGGAACTGATTTTGCCAGGCTCAGCATTGGCCAGTATAAGTCAGATAGAAGATGAAATAACGAAGCTCAACTATGTAAATATTTTATTCCAAGGAAGTTACTTTGATAGAAAGGGACTACTCGGTCAGGCAGCTTGATGGCTATAGGATGTTTCTACTGTTATACTTCCAGTCTGACTGTATGGCTCAAACTTCATGTACCATGCATGTCACTGTTTATGTTAGAGCCTTTGGTCATCCAAGCAAAGTCTCCTAACATTATCTGGGAGGCCACAGGATTTTTTCCAGTGCAAGGAGGTCCTCTGACTCCGAAGGCCAAGCCC